CCTTTCCTTTCTCTCTCTGAACTACTGGTTGGTGGAATGTGTTGTTGTATCTGAATTACTCTGGGTCTGTTGGTTGTAGCAGGTACTGAGAATGCTCTCTTCTCTAGGTTTATGGCGGCCTAACCATGCCCCCAGTGTGGCCTAACTGGTGTCCATTAGTAATCGTATTGGGGTTTTTTATTTATTGTGAGTACTTCTGATTGGCTACTAATCCCAGTGCCCTAGAAGCCAGTCTCAGCAGGCCAGACTGTTAGGGACTCAGTGTGGTGACTGTATTGTCTCTGGTGATTAAATCTCTATTTGTTCTTTCAAGAAGAAACATTGACATGTTTCATCATCCATGACCCTTGCACATCTCCTGCTGTACCACAGACTCTTGTAATGTGAATGACTGGAGAGTACTTTAGGAATACATTCAGCAGATCTACAGAGGCATGTAGACATGTCATGTCAGTAGGTCTCCAGAGGATTACTGAAGACTCAGAAGTGTCAGGTGTGGTTCCAGGGTGTAGGACCTGCATTGAATGCTGGTTACATTCAGTGGAAGAGCTCATTAAGGAAGACAATCAATAGTTTGGAAGAAATCTATCCTGGCTTAATTACAGGTAGTAGCTGAGAGCCTTTGCCAACTGAGCTACTGGTGCAAAGAGGTGGTCAGTACAGAGAATACAAAATGGGGGTGGATCAGGAAAATAATCAAAGGAGTGCTTTGCCAGTATGAGTAGTTTGGTTTAATTAAAAAAAAGGCAATAACAGTGTAGCCTGATGGAGTGAGCACAGGACTAGAAGCCAGCAGCACTGAGATCTACTTCTGGCTCGCTGTGTTTCCACAGGCAAATCATTTAATGTCTCCTTGCCTCAGTTTTCCTGTCTCTAAAGAAGAGACAATAACTCCTCTGTCTCAGAAGGACATAATGGAGCCCAGTTTGTGTACACTACACTTAAAATGTAGTGTAGCTCTAAATGCTACGTGGTAAATATGGAGGTATGAATTCTTCTATGTGCCTGTACGCAGAAGAAAAAGTGACTATCCTAACACATCAGTTATATGTCCTTGGGAGTCACTGTCTGGTGTCTCATCAATCTCTTTGTCCTGGTTTTTTTCTCTGTGTGTTTAAAGGAATATGTGGACAGCAAATCAAAGGCTTCCAAGGGGCCTGGCAAAGCACCAGCTGATCGTGCCCATATGAAGCCGTTTGTGGACAGCATGCTCAAGGACATTCGGGCCTCCCATAAATCCCGGGAGGAGCAGCTGGCTGGAGCTGCCCGTGGGTACAAGAAGCGCATGCAGAACTTGGTCAAGAAGCACGAAAACCTCTTGATTGCTTACAGGTAGGGCAGAACTAGGTGCAAAAGGGTCCTTCTTGTAGTCTTTCAAGGCTGTCCTTCCTCAAAAGCACCCTGGTAAGAGAATACTGGGCAGAATAGCCTGTGCTCTTTACGTTTGATGTAACAAGAGCACCAAACAGCTAGGGGCTAGTGGTTAGATTAGAGAGTTTGGAGGCTAGAGACTGGTTTCTCTTTGTTGGGTACCTTTTTCTACTTTACAAAGGGAAGGGAGCTGCTGCTCAGGAGCATGCCTCAGCTGTTTTGCTGTGGCTAAAGTCTCCTGAAACAATCCTGTAGTGATACAAGTTAATTACATCAGCCTAACCCTGTCCCTGAGTGAAACGGGTTGGAGCAGTTTTGCTATAGAATCATGCAGCTGGGTAACATATTTCATATCCACCCAGGGCATACATCTGTCTGTGCCCTGTCACTTAGCACTCTTGGGTGAGGTGTCTCCAGTGATGCATCTAAAATGCAGACACTGCTGAAAATTGTAGGCCTTTGCATCTTTGTGCCTTGGTGTCTTCATAAGTGAAATCTGAGCTAAAGACTTGCTACACTTTCTAAACTTCTTGGGGTTCTGCAACCAGAGGGTGCAATGTAAATACAATGTTAACTTATGCTACATGTTCCTTCCTTCTAACACCCCTAGCCACACTCTATGGGCTTTGCCAGCCCTAGTGATGGTGCTGAAGGGAGTAGCCAAGGTCCACTGGCTGTTGTGGATCTATAACTCTAGTATTAGCTTCCAGCAGAACCACTCCAATGACTATTATGAGTGCTGTTGGACCAGTCCTGGGCATCTCAGTAGTTGGGTTGGCTCCTTGGGATGTCTGTGTTAGCTGTGAAATCAAAAGTCCTGTTAGCACAGTACTGTCTGCAAGCTAGTAAGCTCTACCAAGGACATGGTTTTTGAGTCCAGAGCTGTTGTGCATGGAGTTAGCCTTGAGGCATTTCTGCATGGTGCTGCCTTGCTTTGCCTATGCATACCTTCATTGGCACTGAGTGTGTAGATATCTGTGGACAGTAATTTACGGAGCTGTTACCTCCCCATCACTGTTATTACTAGATGTTGTTACTTACTGGTATCCATCATGTGATGTGCCAGTGACTACTCTGCTGGTTTGTTTAGGATGCAGCGTGAGCAGATCCAGTCCCTTGGCAGCCGTGAGCTAGATCCTGGCCCCCCCGAGTTCCATTTCATCATCACAGACACAGAACTGCTGACAGGCACAATGCAGGAATTAAATAGGCTGCGAGAGGACAAAGAAAAACTGGAGATACAGCTGCATGAACTGCAGGAGAAGGTATGCTCTGCTTTCACTGCTGTGCCTCTGTACTTCTGGGGAGATTTTGCTTGAACAGGCAGGTTTGGTTTGATCTCTTGCTTTTCCTACTTGTACCTGTACTTCCTATTGGAATCCAGGATGCTGTACTAGAACATGGCATTACCTGAAGCTTTTTGCATCTCTGTGTAATAGATAGGATGTCCAAGCAGTGCTGTCATGTCCAGCATGGTGGTATCTGGCAGACTATGGTCATTAGCAACTCTGAGAGGTGTCCAGTGTTGGTACCTGAAGAGAAACAGGGACTTTCAAGATTCCATTGAGGCAATGCTCACAAAAACATTCTCCTTTTGTCTGCAGAAAAGACTGAGTGAAACATCTGGCCTAGGGCTATCTCCTCAGCAGTAAGTACTGTCTGTTTACTGCTATTCCCCCAGTATTTCTAATACAAGTCTGAGGCACTGCCCCACACCCTTTATTACCCTCTAGGTTCAGCATTTTCTTCAGCTATAGTGGGATCAGGTTGTACATAGGGCCAGGGCAGGCAGAGCTGATTGAAAAACATTCAAGTTCAATAGAACATGAAAGAAAGAGGATACAGCATAAAATGAATTAATCATTTATTCCTTGATTCAACAAACCTCTTATCTATGAGTTTAGTTTTAATCATGTCAGTCGCAATAACTTCAAGGGTGCTTAAAGTTCAGCTCAAGTGCCCAAGTGCTTTGAGAGAGCAAGGCTTTAGATGGGTAAGTTAAACAAGACAGAGGTAGGATGTTCTTGATACATTAACCCCATTGATAGGTGAGCATGCTTGCAGGCTTAGAGAGGATCATGGAGTTGGGCTATTTAGCCCCTGCTGTGACAGGTACCTCCCCTGCTTGTCTTCCTGGCACTTATTTAATAATACGAGTCAGTCCTTACTCTTCTCTGACTGCTAAATTATTCTATTACTAGAGGTCACAGAAAAAGAGAGAACAAACAAATGCTCGTCCAAATCGGTGAGGACTGAGAATACATTGACTTTAAAACATAAGCTAAAATCCCCTTTCTATAGAGTCTACTGTAGGTGTGGGACAGGCAGAGCCCCATGTCCTGAGCACTGAAAGAAGACACTGCCCCCACTTCATTTCACTCAGTCTTTTACACTCAACAGAAAGCGGATGTCAGACACCTCTTTGGTAGCATCTGTTCTCTTGGAACAGGTGCAAACAAAGGCAATCGGGGTGTGCAGTGGGGACTCTCTTACTCTCCAGTGCTAACATTTTTTCCCTGCAAGTGTTATTCCTGGTGTCCTACATATTAGTTGCAGACAAACTAGGCCTTCTTAGATCAAGCTGCTTGGGACGTATGAACAGACAAAACAAAGTTAGAATCATTTTTGTCAAGAGACAGGTTTCCATATCTTCAGTATCTTGTCTTCAAGCTCTACTATGGCCAACAGTCCACTGCCCCAAATAGTTCTATTCCTTAAGAGGAAGTGGTTACATGTGGCAGATGTTAGCCACATTACTATTGCTCATGCAGAAGGTCCCCAGACATTACAGAGATAAGGGTGGCACAAGAACCTGTACAGAACAGATACTTAACAATGACTTGTCCAATTAACTGGACTTCACATGAACGATGATGTGAGGAGCAGTTATTTTTCAGGAAATCGGGCTGGGGATGAATGACAGAATGCAGTATTATAATTTAAAATTATCTAAAAAACTTAAGTAGGGAGTCAGGAGTGTGATGGATTTCAAATGAGACTTCAGGTTTTATGGAGATCCAGATCTGTAATTCTTTTGAATTAAAGTCACATGCTCAACTGGTAGGCTCCAGTGTGAGACAAATGAGAGATTCCTGCCAGACTCTATTTTCCCCCCATGCTGGGTGCCCTAACCCCTGAGTAGAACTCTCTTTTCACTGGAACTCTTTGAGGTATAAGGTATAAAATAACCCAGTCTTCATCTTTATGATGGGTTCGGCTAAGTATCTTGTAGATGCCTAGGAATGTATACAACCACAAAGAATGGATGTCTTTATATCTTGATGCTGTTACCCTTGCTATTGCTGCTTATGGATTCATAGTTTGTTAGGGGCTGAAAGGGGCCTCGCAAGACCATCAGGTCCAGCCTTCCTGCACTAGGCAGGAAAGACAACTGGGGTCAGGTGACCCCAGTGATGTGACCATCCAGTCTCCTCTTGAAGATTTCCAGGGTAGGTGATTACACCATCTATGGAGGGAGCTTATTCCACAGTCTGGACACCCTAACTATGAAGAAGTTTTTCCTAGTGTTAAGCCTGAAACGGTCTTCCATGAGTTTGTGGCCATTACACCTGGTTTTCCCCAATGGTGCCCAGTTGTTCATCAAGCCCTTGATGTATTCCCCTGATATAGCAGTAAGCTGCTACCAAGTCCCCACTCAGCCTTCTCTTTTTTAGGCTGAAGAGACCCAAGTCCCGCAGTCTTTTCTCATATGGCTTGCCTTGCAAGTCTCTGATCACATGAGTGGCTCTTCTCTGGACTCTCTCAAGCTTTTCCACATCCTTGTTGAAGTGTGGTGCCCAGAACTGGATGCAGAGCTGGATGCAGCTGCAGTCTCACCAATGCTGAATAAAGTGGAAGAATCATTTCTTTGGTTTTGCCTGAGATGCATCGGTTGATGCATGCCAGAGTATTGTTTGCCCTGCTGGCTACAGCATCACACTGATGGCTCATGTTCATGCTATGGTCTGTTATTACCCCTAGGTCCCTTTTCGGTTGTGGTTCTAGTCAGTTTGACACCACTGAGCCTGTAAGTATGTTGTGGACTGTTCATCCCCAGATGGAGCACTTTACACTTCTCAGTGTTGAACTTCATCTGGTTCTGTTCTGCCTAACTTGTCAGCCTGTCTAGGTCTGCCTATTTTCAAGCATGACGATGCTCCCCCATAACTTGGTGTTGTCTGTGAACTTGGCCAGTCAGCTCTTCACCCCTACATCCAAATCATTGATAAAGATGTTGAAAAGCACTGGACCAAGCACAGATCCCTGAGGGAAACCACTGGACACTTCTCGCCAGGACGATGCAGATCTGTTCATTAGAAATCTCTCGGTCCTACCCTGCAGCCAGCTTCCTACCCACGTGACTGTTGAGCAGTTAAGCCCACAATCCTCCAATTTTCCTGTGAGAATGTCATGGGATACCAGATCAAAGGCCTTTTCGAAGTCTAGGTATACAATGTCAACCTCCTCTCTCTTATCCAGGTTGCGAGTTACCTGGTCATAAAAGGAGATGAGATTGGTAAGACAAGACCTGCCCATGATGAAGCCATGCCGGCTGTTGTTCATAATCCTACCTTCTCTAAGCATATCACACATAGACTCCTTGATGAATTTTTTCAGGGTTTTCCCTGAGATAGAAGTTAGGCTAACTGGCCTCTAGTTGCTTGGGTCCTCTCTCTTCCCCTTCTTGAAGATGGGCACAACATTGGCCCTCTGTCAGTCTTCAGGAACCTCCCCCAAGTGCCACAAGTTTTGGAAGAGTTTTGCCAGAGATCCTGAAATAACTTTGGCTAGCTCCTTCAGCACTCTCGGATGAAGTTTATACAGTCCTGCTGATTTATAAATGTCTAACTTTTCTAACTGATCACACACCAGCTCAACGTCAACAGTAGGAATACGGTCATGCCCACCATGCTCATTCTGAACCTTATCTAGTATGACTTTCCCCTTAGTCCGGTGAAATACTGAAGCAAAATAGTCATTCAGGAGTTCAGTTTTCTTCTGAGTGTCAGTAACCAGCTGTCCTGAGTTGTTAAGCAATGGCCCCATGCTTTCATTTGTTTTCCTCCTGTTCCCTACATACCTAAAGAAGGACTTCTTATAGTCCTTGTTTCTGTTGCTAATTTAAATTCAGTCACCGCTAGACTAACAATGAATGGTATTAAACCAGAACTGTTTCAATGAAAGCCATTGCTGTATAAATCCATTTACTGTTGGTCAGTTATATTTTGCTGTTAAGTAATTTCTGGTTTCATTTAATTTACTTAACATGAAAGTACCGTCCCTCTCTTCTACCAATAGACATCTCCTAGTTGCTAAAATAGCCACCAGAGGGAGCTCTTAATAACCCAGTGAAGACCATATGGGCCACACAGTTTGAACACAATGCATTCCTCAGTTCATACCATTCTCTCTATACAATCGGAATTCCCTGATCATCAGATGTGACCTATATTTTGCTTATTCAGTCCAAGACAAAATAGGAAGAATTTTCCCACGGTTTGGCTGTACATTTTGCCACAAATAGCCTATCTTAACACTGCTTTTTTTTTTTTTTTTATACTTCACATTAGAAAGAGGATTTGTGCACAACTATAGAGAATAAAGTGCTTGTGTTTAGCATTTATTTTTCCCTTGGCCTCTGTTTCCTATAAAGTTCAACCCTGCAGTGTTAGGATAATGATCATTTCGCCACAAAATCCCTTCCACTATATGTACATTAATACTGACCTGTGGTAAATCCAGCTACTTCAGTGGAGATCCAAGGTTAGTAGAAGACTATGGTTCTCTTTACCCAGGCAGGTGATATGACACAGAGATGGGGAATTAGACTGGAAGAGGATCTGAGCTCTATGCTCTCTGAGCTGATGGGAATACAGTAGTGGCAGCCATTGCATCTTACAGATGGTCTGGTTTCTGCATCTGGGGGAAGTAGTAAGCCATGTTCATCTGAAGTCAAGCTAACTGAAGTTTAGTTAGTCTGTGAGGTGTAAATCTACCCTGCCTTCTTACCGTGCCTGGTCATAATTACAATCCACTGTTCTCTCTTAGCAAGCTAGATGAGGAGGGCTGGGCAGAGATCAGGAAGCAACTCCGGGAGTTCACACACACTACCCAGGTAAGATGCAAGGCAGGCTGAAAATGGGGTTACCCCCAGAAAGACCTTCTGTAGGTCACTGCCACTGTTGGCAGCTATGGTTGCTCCCAGTGCAGATGGTCTTCTACACCTAATGTGTTCTGGGCCAGTTCCCATTTTGGCAGAAGCTGTAGTGAAGCTCCATCAGGAGATAAAACCTGAGGAGTGCCAATGTAGACCAGCCCACTCAGGGCCAGCAGCATTGCTACCTCCATATTACCCAGACTTACCTTGGGCAGGTTGTTGGTATAGTGGTTAATACACCAGTGTTTGGTCTGAACCAGTGGTGAGAAATGCTAGGGAAGGAGGGCTGGGGGAGATACCTGAACACT